AAAAATTTAGTTATCACTGAGTGGAAATTGGAAGGCAGGGGCCCTCCAGCGAACAAAAAGTTCGGAACAGTCCGAAAGAAGTATGAAAAACCCCGAGCTAACAATAAAAATCAGAGGAAGAAGCCCCATCTCGGTAAGTAAAGGCCCAAAGTTTGAAACCAAAGCTAAGCATCAAAGAGAGAGAGAGAGAAAAAAAAATTCCGGCGGCCGAGGGCCCCCTTGGCGCCTGGGCCCCCCTGCATAGCAGGGTCTGCGGGGGCGCCCGTTACGCCACTGAGAGTAGCCTCTGTAACTTACGATTAGCTCATTGACTTTAAGAATCAAAAACTCTTGTTTTCCAGCTCAAGACTTTCTTCCTATTTTGTGATGTTGTTTCGCTCCATCAGAAGAGAAAAAGCACGATGATTCAACGTGTATAGGGTCCAAATGTAAATCTTGAGCCGGTTGAGGTACGAACTCTGAGCAGTCTTAAGGCAAAGGTTTTGAGGCAAAAGGAGGTCCGAATTCCGCAGGAGCTCTTCCGCGGGGAAATGGATGGATTGGGATTGGGTGGACTGCCCTGATTTAATGATTTTTTTATATATTCCTGAAGTAAGGCAAGGAAAAGGACCCCGCACACTCCTTATGGGGACGTGTACCATGATCGATTTTTAAATATTTTATTGTTTTACATTCGTCCTTTATAAACCCAAATAAGACATAATATTTTTACAATATTGGGCAAATATTGTCAGTATTGTCGCAATATTTACACAATACTGACAATATTTTGATAATATTTTAACCAAAATTATTTTTTAAAAAAAATATTTAAAGAATCTTTATTTAGTATTTTTGAAAATAATATGTTTAACCAAAATATTATAAAAATATTTTCACAGTATTGGCACAGTATTTTAAAGTATTGGCACAGTATTTATGCCAAAAGGAAACATGGTGTACGCTTTTAACACTGGCTCAATATTTAATCAATATTAGCCCAATGTTTGCATAAATATCAAAACAATATTGTTTAAATATTGGCTAAATATTTCTGTCTTATCTGGGAATGCAGTCATCATCGCAAAAACTCTCTACCAGCCACCGTTTTCGCGCAATCCGCCGAAAAGCGTTTTAATAATTCCTTGCTTAAATGAAAGTGACGGATTCTCGGAACGGTTTGAGTCAGTCGGGTGAGTGTAAATCAGGTAAACAGGAAAACCGATCAGCCGACGCGACAGTCTTAGCTTGGATTTAACACGTCTTTTCTTTTCATCTTCGAAATCGGTTTATTTCTCTCTCCCACTCCATTATTGTCCTTACCAGACAGACACGTGCTGCGTTTTGATTTTAGCCGCGGTCTGTCCTGGAAATTGCCGTAACGTCAATCGCGCTTGTGCAAAAACGGTGGCTGGTAGAGGGTTAGCGCAATTTTGACTTTTGATCCGCATCCATAGACGAATCTAAAACACTAAAAAAATTAAAAATCGATCGTGGTATACACATCGCCATAAGAAGTGTGCGTGGTCCATTGAAATGCACGATACAATTTTAAAAGTTTTTTAGGGATTCTCTCAAACTACAGTGTAGAACATTACGATATTATTTTTATTCCGGGGGTTTTTTTTAAGTCTTATCAAACGCATTTTTATGTAACTGTCAGTCCTTGCTTCGTCGACCAAGGTCGTTTGTCAGAGAAAGAGCAATGAAAATGATGTGATGTGATGATTGCATGATATGATTGCAATCAAATATTCAAGTGAGCCAAAATTTTCGAACGAAAGCAGAGGAGATGAGAAGAAAAATCTGAAATTTCTGGAAATCTACGATAAAATTCCCAAACCACGTATCTCGTCTGCAGCGTTTAAAAATCTCCGCCACTATTTTACTTTTTTTATTGAGAACATATCAGCATCATTCCTTGAGATTTCCTCAGAGTTTGCCTCGCGCAAAGAAGAAAAATCACGGAAGTTTGTAAGAGTTCACGCCACTTATATATAATAAAGTATGACAGAAAGTCTGCAACGTCGCAAATCGAGATACGTGGTTTGGAAGGTTCATCGTCTATTTAGTTACCTCTGCCCACAACATAGTATGAATCCATAACTCAACTGGTTTAAGATTTACATTGATGCCCAATGAATTTTGAATGACTGTGCTTTTTCTTTCTTTAAGGAGCATAATAACAACGTAAAAGAAGAAGCAATTATTATCCTGGAAAATAAGATTCGATAATCCTTTAAAATTAAGTAAATTACAGAAACTAATCTGGTTGTAAGGAAAGGAGGAAGTCGCCGCGCCATATTCATAGATTTAGCATAGTTCTTGGACATGCAACTATTTTAACTCCTGAGTAGGATTCTGGCCTATACATTCGAATTGACGGCGCATCACTCCGAACGACTCACTCCCATTTCCGGAAGAGAGCTCAATGATTGTGACTCTGCCTTGCGAAATTGCGAAATCTCGGCAGATTTTGGACCTACAAGATGCGATATATCGCATGCCAGTTCGACCACTTCTTTTGAGCTTGACGAATCACCTTAAGGTCGAAATAAAATCATTGAATACTCAGTTATTCCCCGTGATGCAAAATGCTTCATGATTTTCATCGGTGTGAGGAATTTATGAAATGTAATTTTTTTTGAGACACTGCATTACATGCTATTACTGCTCAGATTTATCCTTGTGATGATACTTTCAACTCACACGTTGCTGGTCAAATGTTTACAGAATTTGTACGCAGCATTCCTTATTTTGAAATCTGAAATGTAGAGACCAGGGCCAAAAAATGTACAGCAGGCATAATTGGATCTCTCGGACTTACCTCTCAAATTTTCACGGTGAGAGGATACTCCATATCTTTATGAGACGCTAATCGGCTATATCTGCGGGTGAATGATTCATCTCCCCATAGAATTACTCAAAATAATTTTTCGACTGTGTATTAGACGATTTTGACTGTATCCATTTTGATATAAGTCTGAAAACATCAGAAGTTTTTACATTCATTTTGAAACTAAAGTAATCGTATGCAAGGTATGGAAACATATTAGCAATTACAGAAAAATTTAATGTAGGCATACTATTTCAAAAGTTTACGTTGGCGATCAGTTGCGCTGTATTATCATAGATTTAGCATGTTTCTTAAGCACGCAACTATTTTAACTCCTGCGTAGGATTCTGGCCTATACAGCCGTATTGAAGGGGCATCGCTACAATGCAAGTTGCGGACATTTCGAAACCCTTAACCCTGAAACTAAATTTTTCAATCGTTAATTTTGAGAGAACGATGAAGCTTGTCGAAGAAAACTTCATGAAAATCAACTGCTGATGATTCAATTCCAAGATTTTATTCTCGCGTTCATCGGATTTATAAACATGAATTACGACTTTGAAGCCAGAGGAGCCAATGTTTGACTTCGTTGTGTAATTTTACTACGCAGGAAGACCCAGTTTTCACAGCTTGGGTAGAGTCTACGCCAAATAATTTCACGTACTTTTTGACTTCGACAGAAGATCTGCCATCTTGATTCTTTCATTTACTTTACGTGTAAAAGTGGAGTCATACGATCTTTTGTCGCAGTTGAAAGTGCGTAAACTTATTAGGCGTGCGAACTCTAAACTAGTTGCACTGATTATGCCATTTAGGAAATGAACAGTTGGTATGAATTAAAAGGTTCTGCATCAAGACTTGGCTATTTTTGGGCGCAGACTTTTTGACGGTCACTGTGTCACTAAAAAAATAAGTGTTGATAACGTAATCGTTCATAGGAATTGTGAGAGGAGGCTAACTTTTCAAGATAGCAGTTTTCATCAAAAAATGAAAAATATTACTCAGGAAACACGCTTTATTGTCTCGTAAAATTATTTGTAAGCGCATCTCGTCGGTTGTCGCATCACTTGAGCATAGGCTCTGAGAGATTATGGACCTACTTTGGACTGCTTTTCATCCGATGATCAGAATTATTGCCTGTCTGCCGTCAGGGGCAATTTCCTGGAGTTAAAACTTTAAAAAATTGGCATCACTGAGCCATTATCTGACTGAAAACGTTTCTAGTTCAATCGACGGTGGAGCTATTTCTGTACTTCCTTAATGTGACCGAACCAGCATTTTCCCATGAAAATTCCGTGATGACAATCGAAACTTTTTTTAAAAAACTTCTCATTGAGGCGCGTTTTTCATCTTACGTAAATTATATAAGTTATTTTTCCTCTATTGAAAATGAATCGCACATTAAACGGACAGAACGAATTTTACGTCAAATCAGCTTTTTATGACCAAAAGATGCATTATTCAAGTTGAATGAAAACTTAATATGAGCCGAGGGTCTGGCACTGAATTCTCAGAGTAAATTACCCTCTTTTAATTTGTTCAAACAGTGCATTCAATTTATTATAAGATTTTAACGACGTCGAGAGGAAAACAAAGTTCATCAACTCCGAAAATTCATAGAACAATGACTTCGTTTGGGAAAATGCGTCCGATTTCGGGTTAAATTACTTTGATATGTTCATAAAATTGAGGGCTAAATATTTTTTTAACCCCACAATCACGTCGAGCAAATCAAAAGTGGTCCCATTTTGTATTACATGGACAGCAGTGCACCAAAATGTATTTATTACCCTTCGCAGATTCACCGATCGTGAACCGATTAACGAAGCTTTTTCGAGTATAATCCTTGATGCTTCCAAAAGGAAACATCGTGTTACAGCCGGAATAAAAGGAGAGAATCTAACACCATCGTGAGTTCCGACAAGACGAAGGATTAACCTCACCGGAGTGATGAGCGGGCATATCATGTTGCAGGAGCCTAAGAGCCCAACGAGAAAGCTACATCTCAAGCGATTGACATATCCCACTAATGGTGACGTCAGCGAGCGCGGAGGGCTCTGATTGGCTCAGGCGGGGCTTGCGTTGTGAGCGGCTCGATAAAACTGGAGCGGAGAGGGGCGAGGGGCGATGGGGTCCGCCGCGCCGCGCGCTCCGGCCTACGAGGAAGCCGACAGATCGAGTCAAGTCCTCCGCCAGGGCGAACGCCACGTCGCCGCTCGTCCTAACCTCACTCTCTCGGTTCACTTCCCCGTGTGAAATCCGATTTTTATGACCCAACAGTGACATTCGATACCGAATCGGTCCCTAATTTCTCGTTCGTTCAGTGTGTTCAATTGTGTCCCCGGTCGCTTTCGCGTTATCGGAGTGTTTTCCAGGTCGGAGCCGCCGAAAATCCTAGCGCGCGCGCTAACGGTGCCGAAGTGAACGTACCGTGACGAATAGGAATCTCTCTCCGTTTCGGACTTCTGCTTTGAAATGTGCGACGTTGTCACGTCACCCGCGGGTCGGTAGATCGTGACGGCCGTTGTTGTCGCGGTTCGGCGTAATCAGGTAAGAAACCTTATCTCATCAGTGCATGGTATTCTCATCGGTGCATGATCCTAACTTAGTGCGCATGCGCGAATGTATTCCTTTGATAAAGACCACGTTATCAATCCCGCCAGACTCGGCCAAGTTGGCGCTTCCTGGGACCGTCATGCATGGATGTGGAGCCAGTTTAAATTATTCCGGGAAGATGACAGGTTTCCCTCTCTGTTTTGAATGAGCGAGTGAGTTAATACGATCAACCCCACCGAATAATATCAGTGTCCCTCCCCTGCGTTCATCCCTGGTGAGAAAGGTCTTCCCTCCATTCCCGAATCCTCCTCTTCCTGTTATTAAGATGAGCCTCGCTTCCACGTAGCCAGAAATAGTAAGCCGTATGTCGGGCGGCATTCCCATGCATGGACGGCAGTCGAAAGTCTATTACACGCGCGCGACCGCTCGATGCACCCCCGCCACTCCCCTCCCCCTCCGCCCACGCTCGCCATACGTTGGAAACTCATTCGAACGCTAATGCGCATGGTAATTTGTCTTCCCCCGCTCGGCTGTTGGCGCGTTGTGCGTTTTGGCATGTTTATTATTTCAGGAGCTCGCTGGATTTTCACACCCGTCAGCAGAGCGGTCGCACTCGGATTGCATCACGTCTCTCGTGTCAACGACAACTGCTGACGAACGAATGCCTTCCCCGCAGCCGGCTGAGGATTTGCTCTGAAATTTCCACGCACCGTTGTGAAGACTGTGCACTAATGGATTCCATTGCGATATCATGATCGGATTCAAGAGGAGGCGTACGCCTCCCCCTCCCCCCCCCCGGATGCCCGAAATTAAAGGAAGAAGAAGGGAAGAAGGAAGGAACAGATAAATGAGGAAGGAAGAGCGCCCATATTGAACGAAATTGACTCAAACTGCATCTTGGATCAGATGCTGTAAAACTTCGAAAATTTAGGGTGGGAGCCCCCGGTTCAAAGTGTCTGGATCCGCCCATTTGTGATATCGATGTATGACATAAGAAAAACTTCCAGAGTTTTGAGAACGAAGTGCCTTGTCGCTGGAATCGACGCTTTTTTTTAAAAGCTGCAATAACTGTCGATCCGAGGAGGTATAAATCGGAGAAGACTAGATGCAAAGTAACTGAATTCTAAGAATAACCTCTTTTTCTGCACACCACAATGCAGCAGGTGCTATGAATGAAACGGGGAGGGCAAACAGGTAAAAGAAAAGAAAACCGGAAAAAAAAGAAGATGCCGGCATTCAAGGTGTTTCGTCGGAATAATTTCACTCGGTAAGTATGAGGTACGTAGGTATGCGCATGAGCTTATGCATGATCAGACAGTTCTGAACTTTTGCGTAGAAGCGGCTGCGTGCGCACGCCCGAAACTCCGTCGACTGCGCATGTAAACAAACAAACCAATACACCGACGGAAGCTGTGCTGCACGCCTGTCATTCAGCTTCGGATCCGTTGCCACATTTCACGTCTCTTTCTACGCGTCCACGCACCGCTCGTAAACGCGCCACCACTCCCCTCCACCCCCCTTCCTTCCAGATCCGCAGGTCACTAATTGGCGGCCCGCGCCATTGACATGCGCTTCCCGGAATTTTTCATCCGCATCCCTCTCCGCGAACCAGACCTTTGAACATCTCCCCTTTCCTCTCTTCCGCATTTGTAACTTTCAAAATTAGGGGAGGGGGCGCCGTACGCAACGCTCGTCCTTGTGCTCCAGTCCACGTGGACTGGAATGGGAAAGCATCACCATCCGCCGTATGCTCTGAAGTGCTGATTCCGGTGTTTGATTCAGCGTATTCTCATTTTTCTCAGTGTTCAGTTTCCTCTTAAAGGAATTCATATATTATCCGTCTTCGACAGCCAGTTCGAAGGGACTGCGAGGTAGACATTATTAGAAACAATTACTAACATCACAGAGTATGCGTGTCAAATTGAAATTGAACAACTAGCAAAGTCTTGAATTGTTTCGGAGCCTCTCTACCCAAGCAGCGATTCTTGCAAGTTGGCAACACTGTTTTTCCTCCCTTTAAATACATGCATAAAGATAATGAGGATAGGTGTTTTGGGTATATTTCGGAGTAGTCATTATTGGAATATGAATTACATATTTTATTGAAAGAAAACAGAGAACGTGGTCCGACGAGGAGATGTGTTGGCGAACTAGCTAACAAGGGGAAGGGGCTGCTATACGCAGGTGCTTATCAACATTGAAATAGGACTCGCAGTATGAGTCGCCATAAAGCGACGTTGTCAAGATTATGATTAATTCCAGGGTTCAACACTCCCCCTTAATCTTGACATTTCTCTAATAAAAACGCTTATTATAGTATGGGGGATACATCAAAACCTATGTGTCCTTCTTACGGAAGAACTCTACTCCTCATCGTTACAAAAAGAAACTTAATATTATTACAAGTAAATAAATTTATAATAGTGTTATGTAAACATAGCAAAGAAAACATAGAATTATGTTAAGATTTCAGAGAGTATTTGAAAAAGACACTGAAAAAAAAAGAAATAATGAAAAGCATAGTAAATAGAATTATTTCAGAAATTATTTCACAACCCTATCTCTGAGTGATGTGAATTTTAGTTTCGGGAGGGGTTTGGTGAGCATATCGGCAAGTTGTTCGCTCGATGGACAGTATTGAATTTTGAAAAAACCCTCCGAAAATTTCTCATGCACGTAATGGTAACGCACATCTATGTGCTTGGATCGTCTATTGAATTGACCCTTTTTTACAACTCTTATAGTCCCTTGGTTATCTTCTTTCAAGATGCATCGAACTTTTTTGTCCGTTAATTCTTCTATGAAGGATTTTAAAAACAATAGATTTTTCAAAGTATCCGCCAACGCAATATACTCACTCTCTGTGGTTGACGTGGCAACTATTGGTTGCCTTCGGGATGCCCAGCTGACTGGGTTGTCGTTCAAAAGTACCATATATCCCGAGGTGCTTCGCCGGGTGATTAAATCGTCAGCGTAGCTGGCGTCGCAGAATGCTGATAAAGTTAACTCAGATTCGGTTGACCGTTCAAACATGACACCATCCCCAGTGGTGCCCCTTAAGTATCTCAGTATTCGTTTTATGATATCAATATCATTTTTCTCAGGCTTCTCCATGTGACGACTTGCGTAGCTGACAGCAAAAGAAATGTCAGGACGCGTCTTGTTACTGAGATAAAGCAAACTTCCAACGGCTTGCCTGTATGGGAAATCGTCGGCGGAGTTTCCGGTTCTCTCTATCATCTGACCGGGCTCCATCGGCGTTGAAACAGGTTTACAGTCACTCATGTTAAAGGAATTTATGATTGAGTTCGCATACGCTTCCTGTGACAATTTTAATGTATCGCCCTTGGCCTCGATTTTTATGTTTAAGTAACACGTAGGGTTCTCCTCCAGTGTAAGCTTAAATTCTCTCTGCATGGCTTTTACTAAATGATTTTTCTCATCAACATTTTTATACACAACCAGACCATCGTCAACATGAATGGCGAGCCAAAGTGTACCCTTAGTATTTCTGAAAACACACCTATCAGATTTAAGCTGTTTTAATCCACATTTCGCAAGAAAGTCAGTCAATCTTTTAAACCATTGTAAAGGCGACTGTTTGAGCCCATAAAGTGCTTTCAGAAGTTTGAAAATTTTATTCTTATACTTAGTATAACCTTCGGGTATTTTCATGAAAACATTCTCCTCTAAATTTCCATACAAGAAAGCACATTTTACATCAAATTTCAGTATTTTATAATTGTATTGGAGAGCTAAAGCAAACATGATTTTTATTGAACTTTCGTTCGTTACGGGACTAAAAATTTCTTCATAGTCGAAGTCGTCTTCTTTTTGCTCATTTCCCCGAACGCATAAACGAGCTTTGTATTGACCATTATCTTTAATTCTAAATACCCATCTATTAGACAGTACTTTTGCCCCTTTTGCTTCTTTTTCGTCCACTAATTTGTAAACTCCGTTTTCTGCTAACGAATTTATTTCGTCGTCGATAGCAGTTTTCCATTTGTGACCATCTGGTCCAGTTACTGCGTCGGAAAATGTCAAAAGGATACAACTACTCGGTACTGGATCTCCATAGAATTGAGTTTGTTTTGTAACACGTCCAGCACGTGTTGCGACTTCGTTTTGTTCTTTTTGAAGATTTTCTTCCTCTGTCTCATTTTGAATGTTTTGAAGAGGCTCTCCCTCCGTCTCGTTTGCATTATTTTGATGAATCTCTTCCTCTGTCTCATCTTGATGCATTTCCACCTCATTCTCACTGAGATTCTCGTCTGATTTTTCTGATTCACTCTCCTCTCTTTTAAACAGATCCTCAAATGGATCACACACATTTTCTGCATCCAAAAGTTTATTGTTACTTGGTTTTATAAATGCAACGTCTCTTGATACTATTATTTTTTCGTCTTTTGCGTCCCAAAGTCTATATGCATTACTTGCGTAACCAACTAGAGTATACTTTTGACACCTTTCGTCGAGCTTTTTCAAATGTTTTAAATTTTTGGCGTAAGCCATAGAACCAAATATTTGCAGATACTTAAGATTTGGAGTTTTATCATACCATTTTTCATATGGTGTACAATTTAACCAAGACTTAGGGCTACGGTTTAGTAGGTGTGTTGCAGTGTAAACTGCCTCACCCCATAATTTCTTATCAACATTCCCTTCAAAAATGAGTGCTCTAGCACGTTCCAGGAGCACTCTGTTGGTTCTCTCTGCTGTCGAGTTCAATTGGGGAGTTGCCGGGGGACTATAGTCCAAAATTATTCCCTTTTCTCGGCACCAGTCTTTTAAATCTGCACTCATATACTCTCCACCACGGTCACATCTTATTTTACTTACTTTTAGATTAAATTTTGTCTCAGCTTGTGTTACGTAGTCTCTTAAGTTCTCAAAAAGTTCACTCTTGTATGTCAGCAGAGAGACCATCAGAAATCCTGAAAATCCATCAGTAAAAGTTGCAATATAACGTTTATTGTCCCATGTATCAGGCT